AAAAAAAGTAATGATTACACGCAATGATTGCTTTTTTTTAATTACATTTTTTCCATCGGCAATTCCTCAGCTCTGGAAGGTCGCATCGACTTGAAACTTGGTGGATATTAAAATTTATCTCCTGAATTACGTCTGTGTCAATTTTCATCAAAATCCGTATATTTTTTGTATGTTTTTTTAATCGTTTTATCAACGGCTTCCACGAAACCTTACAAATGCGCATGTAATTAAAATGGCAAAATTTACAACACTGTTTATGAAGAATATAAAATTATTTACATAAGTCGTTTGCAAATGAAAAGATACTCTCCGGATTGGAAGCCATCTTCAGTCTTATCAAATTTAGATGATTTTGTCATTTTAAATAAACATTTTGTTAATAGACGTTTTTGGAGGGTTTTAGACGTTTTTGTCAATTTTTCCAGAAAACTCGTATTTAGACGATTTTGTTATTTTAAAACCCGGTTTTGCTAAGAAAAAAAATTTCACATTTTTAAATGATTTTTTTCATTTAAAAAAAAAATATTTTAGACGAATTTGTTTTAACAAAGGGACGATTTCCTTTAGACGAAATTGTCATTTTTTGGACGATTTTGTTTTATTTTTAGACGTTTTTGTATTTAACCAATAACAATTTCAATTGAAGAATAACATGGAGTGTAACATACATTGTGATGTCTGAATTTAAAAAAAAAACTGGGGTATTCAACACTACCAAGTTTTTTTTGTATTGTCAATACATTATAGAGCCATCGTGTAGTTGGCCACAGATGAGAATTGAAAACAGATTCGAGCTTTTGAAGTTCTTAAAATGAACAACAAATGGAGTCAATACCTTTACGGAGGTGTGTAAACGTTCCATGTAGCTGTAACGAAATTGAATTTTGATCATTAGGGTGCATCGTACTCACAACAATTTAGATAGGTGGAATGGATAGAGATGAAATTTTCAATTTTGAAAAGCTTTCTTTGTAGATTTTGTGGTCCGATTTTGTGTATGGATCTAGCATTTTTTTTGAACTTCCAAAAATCCACCAGCAAACAAAGTGGTGATATTTAAAATTGGACATAAACACCCAAAATCGGAAGGTATTTATCTAATCTATCAGACATGCTAAACTAAACTACTACGCGTACGATGCGCCCTATTGATCATTTCTAAGCATGAAAACATGGCCGACGCAATCATTTTACGCTGTAGTTGATACCCGTTGCAACGTTAGACGGTACGCAGTGCTTCGCATTCTGTCTCTACAAAAAATTTTCGGCCAGAATGAATGTGATGCGATAAATTTTTACATAGCCCAAAATGACATTGACAACGATTAGTAAATGTAGCTCTGCCTGCAGGCTGCAATTATACCATTGTTTTACCTGTATGCATATGTGAAATGTGCTTGTTACATGACCGACTGATGCATATAATCTGAACAATTTTTTTGTCGTCTTATTGCTTGTTCGTCGTTTTGCGAGATACTCCCAGAATTTACACGAAACGCTTTTATTTTGTATGACATAAAATACATTTATGGGCACATTGTACCAATAAATTTCATCTCTTTGAACTTATTTTCAGCCATCACCTGTCTGCACACATACACGCTTAACTATGAAAATATTATATGATATGGAACGCATAGGTTCTATTTTAGCGAACGAAAAAAAAAATATCTAACACTGAGTGACAACTACGTTTATGTTATCCCAACCTGAAAAGAGAATGAATGAAAACAGGAAGAAAGGTTGCGATCAACTTGAAAAAAAAAAAAATCTGTATCGAGAGTGTCTCATTGTGCTGGTGAACATGGATGAGTGTGGAGACAAGAAATATAATCGTCATCAGCATCATCGCTGTGGGCGGCTATCACAAAACAGCCGTGATGTTTTTATTATGTTTCAGATTATGCAATCCATTTCATACGATATCGCGTTCATCAAGGTGCTCGCGGAAGTGTCCTGCTTGCCATTGCCACCGTTTAACATTTGTACCTATAATACGCTGGGCGAAATACTGCCGGAACGAAACATGTTTTTTTTAAATTTTTTTAACTCATGGAGAAAAGGAAGAAAAAGATGCGCGATGAGCGATGAGCGAAATGTAATAGGAATAGATGTAGAAGAACATTGCGACGAACGACGAGAAGCGAGGGAAAAAAGGGAAAACGGTAATAAAAACGCACGTTGACACGATATTAATTTCCCATTGTGTTTGTGTGTATTACGGTAGTCAAAGCCAAGACACACGTGTGCAAACACATTTCTATTATCTATGCCATTTTATACATACATGCGCTAAATTACGGTGACAACTCACAACGATTACATCTATAATTTTATTACGATCACTCCATGAAATATGTACGTTTTGTATGGTTTTGTTCTTGAATGCTTTCCAAAATGTTGGCACACATTTCACATACCATGATGGGGATGCTGTTCGGTGTATTCTTCCCTTTCTCTCTCTTTCCCTCTGTACATGCAATGTGATATGCAGTGTCGGTGATGATGACGACAACAACGGCGGCGGTGGCAACGATGATGACGATGCCAATGTAAATTCACTATGTCACAAGACCGTGCTTAGCACTATATGGAGTAGCAATGGAACAGAAAGAATAGATGACAAAAGCCCATAGCTAATGCGTACACGATAACAAAAATATGAATGTAAAATGGAAATCAAGGTATTTTGTTCTCTTTTCTCATGTTTATTTTATGTCATTATTATGATTGTCGTCTCGGCACTACAGAGATGTCATTTTCTTCAAATTTATTGCTTATGATGTCCCCGACAAAATAAAAAAAAAATTTAAATAAATATGAAATGCCTTACTAATCGCAACGAACACTCTTCTTCGGATTTGTTTTCAGAACATGAGCAAATTCATTTCAATGTATGCAAATGGAATCAACTTTTCAGCTCTCTTTTTACCGTACAACGATTGATAGACATTACACGTCCTTACAAAAAGATATCGACGCACAACAGGCAATTGAATATGCTGGAAACTTTAACGAATTTCAATGGTTTATCACTTTTCTAGGTACATAAAAATGAGTTATCTTCAAAATGCATCCCATAGACCATAGCTACAAAATCAAATAATTCCCAAAAATCATTATCGCAAAGATTTATTGTCGAATGAAAAGAAAAAAATTCAAGTTTTCAGCATTTCTTTCGCGTGCATGCATAATGTACTAAAATTTATATGTTCCAAAAAATGTACGGAAGAATATCGATATATGAGAAATGAAATTGGCCTGATAATCGAAAATGTCACTTCGAACAATAAATAAGATTGATGAAACTACATTTCAGTTTTTTATGATATGTGCGCGATTGTTTGTTGAAAATCAATAGTATTTTAAGGGGTACAAATCCAAATCTTCATACCTCTGAGGCTGTCTCGTTTTTTTTTATTTACACCTGACAAAATTGAATGCTCGAAAGGTAAGTTTTTCCAATGAAAATATACACAGGTTTTCTCAAATAAAATTTGGGCGTTTTGTATGACATTTAAGAACGAAATTCAATGAAAATCGATTGAAACTGGGCATTCGTGTTTCTTTCATTCCAACTGATGATTAGCAATACTTTTGTTTTCATAATGGTAGGTATTTAACTCTGTTTAACGGTTCTGTTTTTATGGTAAAATTCCTTAAATCAACAATAGGGTAGCACCGAGTTCTTAGACTCAGCGAGTCACATTTCATTCATGTGTATGCAGTGGCGAACTGTAATTTCAAATTGTTAATTTTCATTTGGGGGACAAATTTTCATTTTTTCTCAAATCTGTTCATTATTAAATCAATTATTGAATTCCCATGTTACATCAAATTGATAGATTTTGGGAAATTACTATAACGAGGAAGGAATGCACTGTGGCTTCCAAATCAAAATTAACTTATTGCTTCAATAAATATGTCTGCTATTTTGAGGGAGAATTTTCACGCAATACGTAATCTGATTAGATCATAGCGATATTTTTCGCAGATGTTAAAGTGTCGACGAGTCAAAACGTTTGCCACCCATTTCAATTCAAAACAGTTAATTTAGTTGGTTTGGTGAAATTGTTTCAAACATTTTATTGTTAATTAGCGATGAAGTTTGATCAAAGTCAAGTGACAGCTGAATGCCTGCAAGTATACCTATAATGGTTATATTGAACCAACAAGTTTCTTCGGTTGGTTTGATGTCAGCATCGATCCAAAATTCAAATAACTTTTGCATGTATTTGAATTTGAAGTCGTTTCACTTTCTTTCTTTTTTTTTAGATATAAATCAAGGGAGATATTTTTCGTACTGTTACTTCACCTTATAATTCACTCACTCTCCTTTCTCTTTCTCTCTCTTACATTCTCTGGTTCTCTCTTTCAATTCCACGTTTCTCTATTAGTTATGGAAAGTCAAACACTGAAGTTTCCAGACTTCTCAGAAAATTGAACACTAGGACCAATTGCAGTGGCCTATGTTAACGTTTACAAATAAGATCATGCGACCAGGCTTTAGTTCTAGATTGTCTGATGTTTGATTATTATCGACCAAACAGAAGAGAGAAAAAACACCAACTGATTTTTTACACAAAGAGGTTTGGGCGAAAGTTTATTGGCTGTCTGCAAACCATGCCAAAATTATTACATACATAGAAAGTCCCGCGCAGCCACAGAGTCACACACTTCGTATACACTATTCAAGAGTAGTCCACAGTTATACAAAAACCGACGAGTTTGTCTTTTCGTCAAGCGATTATTATCATATTCTTCGTTTTAGAGAAAATATCGATGCAGAGACGTAGAAGCGGCTGATTGATGTAGTCATATAGTGAAAATTATTTGGGATTCTTGTATTGAGCTTCCGTTTTAAGTTTTGAAATAATTTCAATTTATTCGCAACGATTTAACGGTGGTAAGACTTTCGTCAAAGTTTTAAATTTTTCGGTCACTAACAAAACAAATAGTTTTGTGGTTAGTTTCATATTTGCATGAATATTTCTTTGAAGATGAAAGCGTGCCAACTTTTATCAGATGTTGATGATCTGCTATATGCTTTGTAACTTACATGTGATTATTTTGGAAGTGACCGCATTCAGTGTTTTTTTTTTCTGTTTGCTTTTCCATATGTCCTTTCGTACAGTGAGGCAAAGCGTACGTTCGTGCTGAAGGAAATTGTCAAACAAATAACCCCCAAGAAATTCCGGTTTCGTGGTTCATTAGTTAGTTACCAAAAGTTTTCTCTCCAACTTAACACATAGCTAAGATCAAACATTGCAAATACGCTAGATGGTATCTGTAAATATATTCTCCAGATATCTGGTTGCGTTAGCAGCAACGGCATTCGCACTCGTTCCGACGAAGCAAGACAAAAGAAGAGCGCGCATTCACATAGAGAGGAAGTACAGCGCGCATACACATTGTCGTTAAAACACGAGCCAATGGCTACTGTGATATTTTAACGAGCAGCATCAATCATTTCCACTTGCAGCTCGTGTAACAAATACCAAGAGTGACTTTAGCTACATGAAGTGCAAACTCATACATCCCCAAATCATTGGAAAAGTGCACTGAATGGAATGATTTCTATGATAAATAATGTAAAATCGAAGCACTCAAGTCAACCGATATTGTGGAGTAGTGCGAATATATTAACTGGAGAATGAAAACAGAAATATGGAAAAGAAAACACCGAGTCAACGATGGAAGCAGTTTGCAAATTAACGTTAACGCTACGAATCACTTTGATGGCAAACATTCTACGAAGTTGTTCTACATGCTCTGAGAAACGATGTGAACTTGTTTTCATGAAATGCAAAAAAAGAAAAAGCCAAAAGAATCTAGTCTAGTTTCCTCATTTCTACCGTTCGAAAGTTTTCATGTGATTTGGCACCTGAAGCTAAAGTTAAATATCGCTTCCGTTTTGTATTCTTGCACGTTTGCCATCTACGAACTCGAAGAAAAAAATCAAGTCGCCTCGTCGGTTTTTTTTCTCCCAAATGTTTTGGGTTCATGTGCTGAATACAAATAGCAACGAATATTTGTAGAGATGGATTCGATGAACTGTCGTTGCGAATGGTGTCCGTTTGCCTTTACTGTTATAATATGAAAATGCCGCAATTTTTAAAACAATAACCGACTCCGGAATATGTCCCATTTAACTATGTGTATTGTATGCGTTAGTCTCCCCTGCAAGCGTCATCTCTAACTTTGACTCGAAACTATGGTCGAAATCAAATATAAATTGAATTCGAATATTTACGTGTGATAAATTAAAAAATAAATAGTTAACCAGATTAGAAATAAAACAATTGAATATTGAAAATAGCTGGAAATAAAACCATTTTATGTGTAAACTATAGATATTGCTTCTTTTTATTCATAAACTTGAATTTTTTAGAATTTTTTGAATCTAAAAATTCTGGAAGTGGGTTTTGGTGGATCCTCAGGATTGTTCAAAACCGCTCCTGGTTCTGGAAGTGGATCCTCGGGATGGACCAGGGCATTGTCAAACCCAGTCTGATCCATCCTGAGGATCCACCAAAACCCACTTCCAGAACATAATTTTCAAGGTGAATGTTGGAATATTTCAAAATAATACGGATTTTAGTGAATCCCAGAGAATGTGAGAGAAAAGAGAGAAATATTGAAATTTAAGATGAATTTTAAGTTGCGTGAAATCCCTAGATTTCTTTAGGATATGAACAAAACAATCCGTACTGCACTCAAAGCCTATATAAACAATGTTATTATATTTGACGATATTTGAATCGATTTCAATGACGATGTAGCAGCGCCACCTATATAGATTGCTCATTTAAAAAGTGGAACTATTGAGTGTATGCATCATATCGCACGTAAATTTTCAATATGGCGGCGTCCATAGCAGCGACGTATCAATCAATTTTATAGACACTCGTTCGCGATGTACGAAACCATCTATAAGAAATTTATTACATTCATTCTCCACACATTCATTCTAGGGGAATTTCCCATTTCAAAAATGTAGCGATATTGTAGATTTTTGTAGATATTTAGATTAGACGCATGAATTTTGAAGATATAGTACATGTGAATTGTTGCAGATTTGTGAAGATATGTTCAATATCAAAATTCAAGATGGCGACTAAATTTTTTAAATTCAAGATCTAAATATCTATGGACAATGACAAGAAACTCTCTTAGTTCTGCGCATCTTACCAAAGAGGGCGCCAACAGCTGTACATAGAAATGTCCCTAAGAAAGCGCCCTCTTTGTCAAATATCTTGTTGTTGGTCAAGAAAAATTGGGTATAGTTTCCTGTTATTGTCTATGGATATTTGTGGATATTTTGAATATAGACACACAAAAAAACATTCGTCAATTCCAAAGATTTCGGAAGATTTTAAAGATTTTTTTTACATTCAGTTAAAGTTTGCGAATGGAGACGGCGTCTTTGTTATATTTTTTTCGATCATTCTGTCCGATGTTTCATTTTTCAGTTTAAGAAGCCATGATTGATTTTTGCAGTTTTACAATTTTTTTCGGTTAGTTGAAAATTTAAAACCAAAATTATAAGAAAAAAAAAACATGCCATAGGCCGATGTTTTTGATTTGCGCCCAACTGATAAGAGATAAGAGATAACTGTCTTTAGCAAAATTATGAAGGACCTCGAGTACTACAACCTATATCTCTTATCAGAATTGCGAAAATCGCGACCGACTGCGAACCATCACTCATTTTCAGTAGATTCATCAATTTTCGAAGCAATTCAGAAGCATTCAGAAGTGCTCCGGAAGATTCAGAAAATTTTCAGATTCATCAATGCTCTTATGCTGATTCCAAGTGCTCAGACTTTAATTAAAGTCCAAAGTCAAAATTTTTGTTAGTGGATATTTTTGAAATGTTTCGTTGGCATGAAAATTGTTGGGCCCAATAATGATGTTTTACATCAAAACATCCGAAGGTTTCATTATTTTTTTGGATTTTTTTGAGATTTTTCGTTAA